GAGGGTGCAGCGGGGGAGGGGAATGGGCTCTCTGCTTTTCCTCCTCCCCCTAACCTCTCTTCTTCCCCTTTCATCAGATCCATATGCGAATTAGGGAGCACAAGCCAAGTACCAGTGTAGCTCAGGTCTACCAAAGCAGACAAGAGAGAAATCTGGTTCTAGTTTAAAAACTGTAGACTACATATAGCTTCGATTCTGATTTAAATAGGCTAAATAAGTGCCTCAAACAAACAATGACTTTGCCTCAGTTGATAACTTAGAAAGAGAAAAGATTCTTTTTGGGGTTGAGAAAAAAATGTTTAAGAGGCCCTTTTAGCAATGGTGTACTTTTTCTTAGGCTGCTGTGGTTTTTTATTGTGGTAAAATACATATGACATAAAATGTGCCATTTTGACCATTTTTAAGTGTATGAGTCAGTGGCATTAACTACATTCACCATGTTGTGCAATCATCACTGCCATCTGTTTCCAAATCACCTGCATCACCCCAAACAAAACTCTGCACCCACTAGGCAGTTACTCCCCACCCCCACCTTCTGACCCCTGGTGCCCTGTAATCTACTTTCTGTCTCTATGACTTTGCCTATTCTATATATTTCATATAAGTGGAATCATACAGTATGTGTTCTTTTGCGTCTGGCTTCACTCACTTAGCATAACGTTTTCAGATTCATCCATGTTGTAGCATGTGTCAGAACTTCTCTCCTTTTTATGGGTAGATAATGTCCCGTTGTACACATATACCACTTTGGCTTGTCTGTCCATCTGTTGATGGACACTCGGGTTGTTTCCACCTTATTGTCTTGAGGAAGAACCAGGTGGAGGGGCAGGGAACCAGGATGAACCATATGATGCAGTGAAGTCACTGGCTTCAAACATGGCTCAACTTTCAAAGTAACCCCAGCCCGCCTGCCCCTCTCTGGGCATCCGCTTCTGCACCTGCTCAGGGGAAGGGCTGCACCATGCCAGGTAATTCCCAAGGCCTTCCAGTTCTGACAGTCAGTCCACCAAGACCTTGACATCAGGTGATTAAACAGTTAACAGCCTAATGAAGGACCCCATTTGGAGGGTGGAGAGATAAAAGGAACTTTGGAGGTGACAAAGGTCTAATCCTTCCAGAAGAAGAACATGGTACCCACTGCAGAATGTGTGGGTAGTGATGGCAGGGCCTGCCCGCCCCTCCCAGCCCAGGGCTTGGCTCCGAGTGTCAGGGAAGAGCAGAGAAGTGGTTACAGAGGAGCTGGAGAGGGCTTGCATCTGCCTGGGGACAGAGAGCTTTCTGGGACCAGGCTGGCCCCGCCACGGAATTCTGAAACCACTGGGGAAGGAAATGAGAGGAAGTCTTGGTGGGCATGACAAACGGAACCTGGACTTTCTGCAACAGACCAGAACAGCCTGTGGCCAGGTCCCCTCGCAGGACACAGCTGGCTGATGGGCATAGTATGCACCAGAGAAGGTGTGAGAGAAAAACGCAGGACAGGGTCCCATGCCCACGTTACTAGCTGCGTGGCCCTGACCGAAACAATGAACCACTCGGGTTCCCTCCTCATCTGTATGGTGAACAACTCAAAAGCCATCATCTTTACAGGCCCCTCCAAGGTCAATTCCAGGTACATGGGAACACTGGAGGGGGTGTCGAGGTCACTTCCACACTCATTCTTTCAGCAAGTGTTTACTGACCGCTGCTTCATGCCAAGCATTGTATTAGATGCCCTTCTTCTATCCTACCTGATACCGAGGGGACAAAAGAGGGAGCAACACCATTTTCCTGCTGCAAAGATCAACAAAGGCTGATTACACAGCCAATACAAACGAGGCTACACTGGCCACCCCCTGCAGTCTAGCTTGCCACCAGTGCCAGTCAAGAGCTGTGGCGCAGCACCATGCAACCCTGATCCCACATGGGACTATTAGGCTCCTGGGAAGGCCTCTATCAGTGGGCTGGGAAGGAAGGGAAGACGGGGAACAAGGAAGGGGGTGGGGCTCAAGTGTCAGCCAGACTCACCTTCACGCAGGAGTAGACCACGGACACAAACACCACCAAGGTCAGCAGCACAAAACAGGTCAGGTAGAAACTCAACATGAACACGGAGCTGGAAGAAGAGAGGAGGTGGGGATTCTGGGTGGACCCGGGTGACAGATGACGGGAACGGAAGTGAAGTCAAGTCCAGGTGGCCAGGGGACAACTTCTGTGAGCCCTGGCCCTGCAAGCAGGCTGCAAGTGTCCGTCTTCACAGTTCTCAGGGGCAGGGGCTCTGAAAGCCCCTAGGAAGGAAGCAGAAGTTGCTCCATTTCCCCTGCTCCCACAGCCCAGGCTTTTCTAGGCCCCAACTCGCTCAGAAGGGTTCCCACGGCCTTGAGAACTGACTCAGGACCCTCCTCTGTGATGGCCTGGCTCCTGCCCTTCCTGCTTCCCTGTGCCTTCCTGTGGGAGCAGCAGACACAGGGTGGATGGAGAACTGGATGAAGCCTGCTCAACACTTCGCCTAATTCTTAGTGATCCATAGACTCTCCTCATCTACCTTGGAGGGACCCATTTTAAAAATCACCTGGTTATTCCCCCCACGCAGCCCCCTGGCTCGCTTGACAAGTAACCCTGAAGGCTGAAACTGATTTGATGAGCAGCCATTGTCTACAGAAACGCCTTTGTCAAGCAGCTCACCCAGTCACTCCAAGAAACAGCAGTCATGTGTGCCCTCCCCACAGCCAGGCCCCACAAGTCCTGCTCAGTTTGTGCTCCCTATTCCTGGACAGTTCAACAAAAAAACCTCCAGGATCTCCCACTGCCCCTCCTTTCAGAGGCAGAGCTCAGTGATCCTAACGTCCACCATGGGCCAGAATCCTCCGACAAAAGAGCTGCAAGTGACTTTCCTTCCAAAACCTTCCGCAGGCTGGCCCTCCTGGGGCAGGGGCTGGCCTAGGTGCAGCACACTCCACCATGTCCCAGGAGGCCACAGAGACTCCTCCTCTTTCAGGGAGTGCAGTGGCCTGGAGATGCCAGGTGCGTTAGCAAGTTAGAGGCAAGCTAAGGACTCGTGATGCCTCTAGGGAGGTGTTCAAATGGGGTCTTTGTTCCAGGCTCCCCCAGCAGCCAGTACTTAGATGCCTTAAACAAATAAAACAAGGGGAGAGAACTCTTGCCAGAGGGAAAGAAAGACTTAAAGTAGCTTTTAAGGCTTCCACACAGAGAGGATGGCTACAGAATGACCTCCGTCAACACCTCAGCAACTTGGAGCTGTAGCTGAAGAGGGAATGAAGGAGCTGGAGGCAAAGCAGGGTGCTGGGATAACCCAACCCCAAGCTGTGCTGCAGAAAAATAAGTGGCAAAGAGGCAGGATCATGCACCCAAACTAAGGGGACTTTCATTGGTAATGGGACAGAAAGTCTAGGTTGCTTATTTACACCTTTAGCTCCACTTCAATTCAGAAACATGGGGTCCTGTGCCCAGAACTCATAATCCCACCAGCTCTGCAGTCTCCTTGCAGGGGGCAACCAGGGCACAGCTGGCCACCGTGTCTGGTTTTCCCCTACGGTATCCTGACAGTTACAGCAGATAAAAGGTAAGAGCCAGCTTTGCAACAGTAAGTGCCACTAAAACCAAAAGGCGTTGAGCCTGGCCAGCGTGGCTCATTGGTTGAGTGTCGACCAATCGAACCAGGAGACCACAGTTTGATTCCTGGTCAGGGCACATGCCCAGGTTGTGGGCTCGATTCTCAGTAGGGGGCATGCAGGAGGGAGCTGATTCATGTTTTTTCTCTCTCATCCATGTTTCTATGTCTCTGTCCCTCTCCCTTCCTCTTTCTCTTAAAATCAATAAAAACATATTTTTAAAAATGTATAAATAAAATAAAACAGAAAAAAGCAAAATATTAACAATGGCTATATGTAGGGGATGGTTAATTATATTAATTACTTTACTTTTCTGTATGTTTGAAATATTGCATAATAAAAAGTTAAAAATATGCACATACACATGTATACATGTACATGTATATGTATACATACACACGTGGAACAGTTATCGTTCTCGCCTAGGTGTAACACTACTGTGAATGACTAACACATAACTTCCATAAGCCCACTGCCCACTCAGAGTGGTCCTCTAGGGAACCACAAGCCTCTCCCAGTGACACAGCCAGTCCTCAAAAGAGTTTGGGAGCATCTCTTTGAGAAAGCCTTCAGGACCTAAAATCTTCTCTTCAAACTATCCAGAGTAGCAAAAAACCTTTATCTTTTGAAGATGTATTGATTTTTTTGCAAGAACCAAAGGTCATGCAGAAACAATCCTGGTGAACTTGGGTGATTCGATGGGCACCAGTGGTGTAGATTCAAATGAGATGAGACGACAGAGTGGTGAGGAGTCTCCCATGACTAAGCTGTGCCCAGAGAGGTTTCCACCCTGAAATGAGCATGTGGCCTCCCTGTCACGGAGGAGTCAGGCTCCCGACTTCCCAGTCCCACCGAAGACACGTTTGGAAACTTCTCTCCCTGTTGAGCATGTTCAGACCAGACTCCGGCCTCCGCTCTATTACATGGCCTCCCCTCACACCCCTGGAATCCCTGTAGCCAGAGGAGGGGCCCCGGGAGGATGGGTACTTACTGGGGCACGATGGTGATCTGGACGAAGCAGATGAAGAGGAAGACGAGCGAGGCACACGCCACGTAGGCACCGAATCGGTCATCCACCTGCTTGGAGTACTGAGAGGACACGGGCAGAGTGAGGGGCAGGGGCACCGCCCTGTCTGTCCCAGCTCCGCCCCATCCCAGACACCCAGGGCGGCCCACTCCCAGGACGTCGAAGACACGAGAACTGGGGCTAGGCTTAGCTCTTGGGAAACCAGTCCAAGTCACTATAAGGTGATGCTGTGGGGAGAGGAGTTGAATTGTGTGAAACCAGGAGCTTTCTGCAGACCAGGTCACTGTGAGAGTAATTCACAGCGATCAGGGCTAAAGTTACTGAGCCCCGTCTACATCCTAGGACATAGGCGTTATCTTCACCGCCTAAGCACACCAGGGAGTAGGCACAGGACCAGGACTGCTGCTGTTTTTACCTCAGAGATGAGTAAGCTGGGGCTCAGAGAGGTCACAAGACTTGTCCAAACACAGCTCACCTCCTAGGTCCTGACTTCCAGCCCCAGCTCCTCCCACAACACCAACCAGCCGCAGGAGCGGAGGCTGGGCTGGGGATCCTCGTCAGCTCCACAGTGCCAGTAAACAGAGTAAGTTCCCTTCCATCACTTTCCCTTTCCCTCCTAATTAGGACTGCTGAACTCCATGACCACATGAGTTCACACAAGCCCATTTAACCGAACACCAGGGAGACCCTGTGACATGGAGCAAAGACCCTGACCCAGGGACTGGTTCCGGCTCTGTCACCACTTCACTGGGTGGCTCAGAGCACATCTACTGAGCAACTACTTGGGTTTTAGCTCTCAGTCACAATTTAAGGAGACTGAATGCCCCTTCCAAATTTAATACTTTGAGGTTCAGTGCAGCTGGGTAGTCCACTGGTCATGATAATGATAATAATAACAGAAATAGTACAAATAGCAACTACCACCTATTGAACATATACTATGTGGCAGATACTGTTTTATGTGTTTCAAATATAGGTCTTGTTTAATCCTCAGTATGACCCTTTGAGGTAGGTATGCTAAATAGGTCCATTTTCCAGTTAAGGAAACTAAGGCACAAAGAGGTTAAGATTTATCCCTGCCAAACAAGGAGGTCTCCCTAAAATCTTCATCTCCTGGGTAGTGCAGCTTTAGAGCTGGAGAAAATGAGAGGCCAAGAAGGGCTCTTCCAACAGTAATGGAGACGGGATGGAGCCACCTGTTGCCTTGTTTCCCTCTTGCTGGCCCTGGTTCTGCCTGGAGCCTCCTTCCCACCCAGGGTGCTGTACCTTCTTCTCTAAGTCAGGCTCCCTGAAGGTCAAGAGGAACTTGCGAACATGCTCAGACCGCAGCCTGTCAATGCTCCTGGCGTCAATGGCGCGGCCCAGAAATTCATCCACTTCATCCTCGGGGTTTGCACTTTCTTGGGCATTCCTGGGGAGCAAGAGGCGCAGACACAGGACAGGCTGACCACCAGGGGGTGCAGCTAGAGGGTGGCTCTACCTGTGCACGGGGACCCATGAGAGACCCAGATCAGCCCTAATAAGGGGCAGGGATGCTGAGATTGAGACCAGGACTGCCAAAGCCCAAGCCCCACCCCCCCAACCCCCGTCTTAACAACTGCACACATGCGTAGAAAACTGCCTGTCTCAGACTCGCTGGCTGGAGGGCCTCACTGAAACAGGCTTTTCTGACTCTACTGACATATTTTTACATCATCAGAATAATATGAATTACTACGGAAGGTTTGTTTTCTCCCCACAGGTAACAGTCTCTGCTCTTTAATTTCTGGCTGTACCATTATCCAGAAATAAAAGCCGAGATCAGGAGGTGAGACTTCTGCTACAGGGACTGTGAGCCACCTGGGTGCTTTAACCTGGCTCAGGCACCCTCTGGGGAGGTTTCATGATCTTTGGGTGCTGAACTAAAATGAAGCTTAGTCCCTGAGAACTGGGAAGTGGAAGAGAAAGAGGACATTCCCCCAGGGCACTGGATTGGCCAGGCACTGCAGGTGACCACTGTGCAAGGTCTGCACTTTCCTGAGAGCTGCATGTGCATGTACACATGCATGTGCAGAATGTGGGCGCATACAGGTGTCAGTGTGTGCACACATGTGTGGGCATGGTGCGGAGACTGAACACGGGCAATGCCAAGGCCCAGCCTCTCTGCCAGAGGGCTCAGGCTCCAGGGCTGGTCATCTCTCAGCTGCCGTGTGCTCTGGACACTCTCAGCCAAGACTATGTGTGGGCTCCTTCCCCATGGAGCGTGGGGAAACAAAGCTATGAGGCCGATTTGAAGATATCCCCAAGGCCAAAAGAGCAGGAATAGCGAAGGACACATTACTCACTTGTCCTTGGGGTCTTCGAAGCCCTAAAAGAGAGGGACAGAGAAAGGAGAGTATGAGAACAGAGCGGACTGGGCATGGAGGCTTCCAGAGATGGGGCTGTGGGAAGGGGGCGGCCCATCTCTCTGCAGTTCACCAAGGAGCCTGGACATGAGAAGGTTGTCACTTGGTA